CGAGTGAGTAAGATACAGATCTAGTACAATTAGGAATCATAGTTACAGAACTAATAGCATCGAGTGAGTAAGATACGGATCTAGTACAGTTAGGAATCATAGTTCCAGAACTGATAGCATTGAGTGAGTAAGAGACGGAACTAGCACAGTTAGGAATCATAGTTACAGAACTAATAGCATCGAGTGAGTAAGATACAGATCTAGGACAATTAGGAATCATAGTTACAGAACTAATAGCATCGAGTGAGTAAGATACAGATCTGGTACAATTAGGAATCATAGTTACGGAACTAATAGCATCGAGTGAGTAAGATACAGATCTGGTACAATTAGGAATCATAGTTACGGAACTGATAGCATCGAGTGAGTAAGATACAGATCTAGGACAATTAGGAATCATAGTTACAGAACTGATAGCATTGAGTGAGTAAGATACGGATCTAGTACACTTAGGAATCATAGTGTATGCGAGTGTGTGTGTGTGTATAGAATCACTTGTGTCGTGTAAACACGGAAGTTTGTGTGTGTGTGTGTATGTGTGTGTGTATATATATGTGTGTGTGTGTGTGAGAAAGAAAGTGCGTGTGCGTGTTTGTGTGTGTGTTAGTTTGTGTGTGTGTATGGAGGGGGAAGGGGTACAAGCATGTTTCTTTCAAGAAAGGAAATTTCGTTCACGATCGAGAAATCGAAATTGTCCTGTCCCTGTAAGTCATGTTGAAAGTAAGTTGCTGATTGGAAAGTGTCAATAGTGCCCTACATTCAAGTCCTTGAGGGTTTATAAGAACGACATGATTAATAAATAAGTTTTTATTTAAAGACAAGAAATCGCCAACAGTATGAACTAGATATTGAAGGACTGACAATGCTTTTGTTACCTGTCCAGATATTTTATTCGATACACTCTGCTTCATATGCAATCAAAACCGCCCAAGAGAGGGGCGTAGTCCATCCCAATGAGTATGCGAACAATCTGCTGGAAAGTTTGCCACTGAGCTGAGCAAACAAAGTGTCATTCAGAAAATATATTTTCAATATTTTTTATCTTGGTTTGGTCGTGTTTTCCACAAAGTAAACTCCACAACCGTTCATAACCATATATTTGTAACGCAATGTTAGCCTTTCTTGGAAATATATACCTTCATGATAGGAGAACAGTCATTCGGCTTGGCATGGCGGTGTATTAACAACAGTTGTAAGAAGCTTTCATAATGGTCTCTTTGTGCAACTAGTAGAGCCAACGATAACACATTGATATACTGAGTCTGGTAACGTTTCGGAATTCAATACAAACTTATCAGGACCGTATCCTAACTATATCACACACACACACACACACACACACACACACATACACACTCACACACACACCTATACACACACACACACACACACACACACATATATATATATACACACACACACACATGCACACACACACACACACACACACTCTCACACGCACTCACACACACACACACACTCACTCACACACACTCACTCACACACACACACACACACACACACACACACACACACNACACACACACACACACACACACACAAAACTTACGTGTTTACACGACACACGTGATTTGATATATACAAGATGGTTTGGAGTTCACTATATCTGTGATACAATGTTAATATAAAATGCTGCTAGACAGATGTTACAACACAACACAGTGTAACAACTTTTTTAGTAATCTTGTTGTGGTGACATTGCTGTGGTGACATTGTTGTGGTTACATTGCTGTGGTTACATTGCTGTGGTTACATTGTTGTGGTTACATTGCTGTGGTTACATTGCTGTGGTTACATTGTTGTGGTTTCATTGTTGTGGTTATATTGTTGTGGTTACATTGTTGTGGTTACATTGTTGTGGTTTCATTGCTGTGGTTACATTGTTGTGCTTTCATTGCTGTGGTTACATCGCTGTGGTTACATTGTTGTGGTTACATTGCTGTGGTTACATTGTTGTGGTTTCATTGCTGTGGTTACATTGTTGTGGTTTCATTGCTGTGGTTACATTGCTGTGGTTACATTGTTGTGGTTACATTGCTGTGGTTACATTGTTGTGGTTTCATTGCTGTGGTTACATTGTTGTGGTTTCATTGCTGTGGTTACATTGCTGTGGTTACATTGTTGTGGTTACATTGCTGTGGTTACATTGTTGTGGTTTCATTGCTGTGGTTACATTGTTGTGGTTTCATTGCTGTGGTTACATTGCTGTGGTTACATTGTTGTGGTTACATTGCTGTGGTTACATTGTTGTGGTTTCATTGCTGTGGTTACATTGTTGTGGTTTCATTGCTGTGGTTACATTGCTGTGGTTACATTGTTGTGGTTACATTGCTGTGGTTACATTGTTGTGGTTACATTGTTGTGGTTTCATTGTTGTGGTTTCATTGTTGTGGTTACATTGGTGTGGTTACATTGCTGTGGTTACATTGTCATTTCCAAGTCCTCATTGGATTTGGCATGGACTTACGAAGCAGAAGTCGTGTTTATTTCCGGAAAACTTGGTGTTTTATCTGTTCATGTTTTGACATAGTTTGACCCTCCTCAAGCTGGAAAATTTTGTTACATTTTGGTATGCTTGTTTTTGTTATGAGGTGCCTTTCCCGGCGTTAATGGGAGATATCTGAGAGGTGCAGAGTTTGGTAAGAAATGTTTACTTTTCCATAGTTCCAAGTTACATGTTGACCATGGCGTTAATTGTCGATGTTGTGCATTTGATTTTACCTTCAGACTTTGTTCTGTGTTTCATATTATATCTAAACCCCGATATGATGTGTGGAACGGTTTCCGAGCTTGGTCTATGTGGACGGTTTCCGAGCTTGGTCTATGTGGACGGTTTCCGAGCTCAGTCTATGTGGACGGTTTCCGAGCTCGGTCTATGTGGACGGTTTCCGAGCTCGGTCTATGGCGTAGATTTCCGAGCTCGGTCTATGGCGTAGGTTTCCGAACTCGGTCTATGTGGACGGTTTCCGAGCTCGGTCTATGGCGTACGTTCCTTTTACGATCCTGGATTATGACTTTCTTTGATAGCAAACCCTTGTCTATTTCTGATGCATATTGAAGAAGTCGACAACGCGTTAGTCGAATGAAACTTTGTAGCGTCCGTAACAATACGAGTTGGGATAGGACATGTACTCATGTGAGTAAGTAATTAATGTATTGACATTGTAATAACAAATAATGTTTTCCAACATACACCCACAATCGGTGTCGCTAAAGATATACTATTTCCCCCAAATTTTCTGGAGCTATGATTCTCCTGTTTGATATAACCTAGAAAGCTAGTTCCCACCAGGACATAACTGGAAGTATCCACTTGTTTAGTTTGCTTTCGAAAGGAGTATCACGTGATGTATATCTGTCATACGGTTACATTACCCATCACGTGATCTATGTACCCTTATATTAACCTCACCACGGTTCCGTGTTGTAACCAACACACCACGTAATCTTAAAACAAGGATCTCTTGTCACTGCGCAGTTCGATATCTACAAACACAAACCAATTGAAATCAATTATGGTGTATGTGTGAGATAATAGCTACAGTCATACCTTCTGGCGAAGTCTATCTCTATATCTGGGTAGATAAAGGCGGATCAAGTACTGCCCAATAGCTCGCTCCCTCAAGGGGGCCGATATCTTACACAACAACCATTTCATCGCGGTGAGAAAAGATATTAAAGGAGCATAGTCGGAAGGATTTAAACCGCACTATTTCACATGACTTCAAAGAAATTTGTCCTTAATTTGGACTGGGGGATTTTCAATCTCAAGTGTCATTAAGTCTGACGTGTCCTTAACTAAGTAAAACGAGGGGACATTTTTTTCATGTGCACTTATTTCAGACGCGCGGGGGAGGGGCTTAAATCACTCTGTCACATGTTTTCTAAAGTCCTACGTCGAGACTTCTATCTTATTTAACGTTAATTGGGACGTTGGGAGTTCCATCTCACGTGTTCTTGGGTAGAACTTTGGGACTTTTATCTCACATGCCCTTAAGTACAACGTGGGGACTTCCATCTCACGTGCCCTTAAGTACAACGTGGGGACTTCCATCTCACGTGCCCTTAAGACATTTAGATAAAGATGGACCTATCTGACAAATGTGACTAAGTACAGCCTAGCTACTGATCNACATTTAGATAAAGATGGACCTATCTGACAAATGTGACTAAGTACAGCCTAGCTACTGATCGACAAGGACGATGCGAGGCGTTTCTATCTGTGCAGTGTTCCTGATATTAACAGGTCAGTCTCTATGTTTTTACAAGCTTTACAAGTCATTGGTGAGAGAAACGTTCAGTTATACTCATTTTGCTGGACATTACGTCTCTGGATCTGTATAGGGGGGCAATGCCGTGACATACCGTCCGTCGTCTGTTGAGAGTGCTGTCGTACATCAAACTTGTCCTTGACTATTCGATTTAACAGGTTTAGACCGACTAAATCTTTGATGAATAGATTGATTATTTGGTAGTTAGGCCGCCTAGTAGAGCTCAATTGAGAAGACAGAGGTGAAATTTGAAAAACAAATGTTGCATTTCTTAAAATATCACTTAGAGATTTGATCAATGTGTAAAACCAGGAAAAGTGTTCGTAATACTGAACTTGTGATATCCTATTGTTTATTTTGAAAATAACAAACAAAGATATTAAGTATAAAACCAGGTGAACAATTAATGCTGATTGACATTATGTTATACATTGTTTTTAGTCAAATATAAAGTTCAACAGGGAAGTAGAGGTCAACCTTTCTTCAGGTGAGGAACTAACGTCAAACAAACGATTTTAGTCGTCACCTTCAACGACATGCTGGTTTAGCCAATCAAATTCTTTACAAATTGTTACTATCGAATTAATTCACCGAAAAAACAAGGTGCCCCATCAACCTGTTAAAAGCATTATTATCTACGTAACTGATAGAAAACAAGGTCATTACAATCAGGCTGTTAAACAGTCTTATTACATTGTACTTAGTAAGGAATGACCTGTATCGGAGTCCTCAAGGTGGACATCGCTGAGTAAGCAAATAAGAGCAAAGTTTCATTGCAAGACCGCCACTGTTTAAAAGTTACAGAAATGTAACCGGGAATATAATTACGACATTATCATTTCTGAATGACAATGTAACTCTACCACGTTACAGTCATGTTATGTTTGAGAGCAGACATCGATGAGTTGAGACATACAATATTTGATATTGAAAATTCCAATGTAGTCAAAACCTAGAGAAACCACAGTGTGAACATAACCATTATTCGAGTTCAAAATCGATTAATAAAGGGCGCTAAAGGACTTGTGCGTTTTTGGTCATTTTTGGTCTCATAAAAAGTAAAAAAAAACAAACCTTGAATTTATTTATCGATTTCTGTTAATAACATCATATTGGTTAATTTGGGCCAGCTTCCTTGGCGCAGATGTTTTCCTATGCGCATACGTAGATGCCTACAACGCAACAAGTTGTGTTGCTATGCCGGATTAGCTAAAATATGGCGTTTTGAACAGTTAAAATGCAGAAGTTAAAGCCTCCGCACGTGACAAACAAACCTTCCTTTCAACGAATGAACACTGCAGTGACAACGCTTAATGTCAAATATTGATTTGTATGTCGCATGTGGAGACTTTAACAAAATGAAGAGTATTCAGTTAATTTCCTTCAAAATGGTAAAGTTTCAACCCAATAGCGCACAACAGACGATATTCAAGCATTTAATTATGAAAATGGGTGTTTATGTCTCTCTTTGTAATGCCATATCTCATAAACCAGTTGTCGAATGAATTTGAAATTTCATATTTGCGTACTTCATTTATTCTAAATTACAACTAATTCTAAATCCCTGATGAGGCCGGAAATAGTCCTTAACGCCCCAAGCCTTTGAACAAAGTAAATCCTTACATGATGACAAAAAGAGGATCAAAGAAGATGTTCCGGAAGTGTTCAGTCTCTGCTTCATCGACTACACCCGCCCTGTTAAGGTCAAAAGGCTAAAACTAAGGCCCCATATGAAAAAAAATACAACATCAAGTCGGTTAGATAAGTAGCACAACTTGTTCCCATAAGATTACATACAGTCTACTGGAAAATCGGGCCAACGAAGTCAGTAAAATGGCACATAACAGGAACTCTCACGATTCTTATCCTCATTATTTGTCAGTGTGGCCTTTGTCGTGTTCTCATCAAACTTGCTAAAGAATATTTTACAACCATCTATGTGTAGCCGTTAACCTGTCTTGGAAACGAAAGCTCATATTATAAGAGAACGAAGCCCTCTGACGTTCCCTTCATTTTTGTATGAGGCATTGTCATTCAGAATATAAGAGACATGGTCTGATAGAGCAATCTCAAGATTAATAGGAAGATCTGTTGAATTTTTCAGAATCAACTATTTTATAAAGTTCACTTCTGAAATCCTTTGGATTAACACGACCTTAACCCTGAGTCAGTTGCTCAAAGAATGGCTATGAAACGTTGGAATACTGGCATGGTTGATTAAAAAGAAGAGCCAGCGATAAACCATTGTTTATAAGGATTCTAGTTGAGTTTTTGAATCCAATATAAACGAGATAACTTCGTAACCTTATTATTAATGCGTATGTGGAACGATTGCAATATAGAAGCGTCAATATCTGTCCTTTCGTCTTTTGAAAAAAGTGCGGAATTTAGAACTTAGCTTTATTAAAAGCAAATAGGACTCTGCCTATATAACACAAGTAGGCCACTATATCAGTGTTTGTAGAGAAGGAGGCTTTGTCTGAAGACCCTAGTATATACCA